TATTTGCAATCAGCTGAGATACTATAAGAAAAACTGTTCAAAGAAAAGAAGAATACACTTCTTTTTGTACTTTTCCCCCTCTGTTATAAGTGAACATTAGCTGAGAAAGTTCACTGTCTCATATGGAGACAGATATGGGTGCATTTTCCATCCAATTTCCTTCTAAAATAAAAGGTGTGTCTGTCCCTGTTACTACTCTCTAATGTGAATCTCATTCTGCAAGCTTCGCATTGCCTAAAGACGTAGTCAGAGCCACCGAGAAAGGCTCAGAAGGCTCACTGTGCTGGTTTGCTGCGTCCCACCCCATCCCCCTCTCTGGTATCTTGCTCTCCCCAGCTTTGTAGTTTTGCACGTCTTCTTCTATCTCCCCCTCCTTGGACTTATGCCATGCCCACCCCTCCCTAGAAAACAGCCACTCCTCCAATACTGAGGTTGCCTTTTCTTCCTCTAGGGCTAGCGACCACCTCCTCCTTTGCGACAGGTGTGACAGGTGCCCCAGACAGGTGCCATCTCGCTGTCATTAGCATCCTCTGCTGGCCTGATCCTCCCCTCACTGACTGGTGAGCTCCCTAAGGACCAGCAGTTTGTCTCGGTTTTCACAGGCATGACGTGTGCATGGCAGACTTAAATAAACGTGTGAGGAAAGAACTGTAGAGAGAAAGGAAGAGAGGGGAGACAGAATGCTAGAGCACACATGTTAAGGAGAAAGTAAGCAGAAAGCATCACTTGGGAGATTGAGGAGGAAAGGCAGAAGGAGCTCAGGATGCTGACACTGGAGAAGAACATCTTTGGAGAATGTAAGAGCAATCTTCAGATATTTGAAGGTTTTAAGGTGGACAAAGCATGACAAGAATTAGAACCTGGACTGACCAGTGAAAGAGTCAAGACACTTTCACACAGAATTTTCCAGCATTTCAATGGTCAAAGACGCTCTGACACAGAGGCTGTGTCATGGAGGTCATCATGCGCTTGGTGGGGACTAGCGGCTGGGCGGAGTTGGAATGCTGGGTTAGGTGACCTCCCCAGCACTGCTGTCTAATACCTGTCACAAGGTATTCTGGCATGAAGCCCTACTCCACCTGCCTCACATCAGGCAAAAAGGAAAGAAAATTATCTAGGAGAAGCAACTAAATAGCCCTGAATGGTTGATCTCAAGAACCATCAGTTTTTGGTATGTCAAATTCTAAATTCTATATTTTTTCAAGTGTCGCCAGTAAAAATATTTAGAAGCACTTTTGCCATCCTAGATGTCTTGGAGAAGACGCATATGAATGGTTTGAAAAAAGTTCTTATCCAAGATTGACTACTGATCTGCTTTTGGACCTGCCTTTCTAAACACCTGATGAAGCAACGTCGCTTGACACGAGACACAACACTTTCCACTGAGAGAAAGCCCACCTGTGTTAACATCACTTCCCTAGTTTGTAAAGAACTAACGAATGTGTACAGATTACGACGCAAAGACCCCCTTTCAAAACGGTGGTCAGTGCAATACTTGATACTTAATGTTTAAAATGATTTCACCAATGTGATATTACTGCCACAAAAGGTTCCACGTAAACCTCATCATGATAGAGGAATGAGACACTGCAGAATGCCGGACATTTTACCCGTCTAACAGATCACTGCCTGGGAATCTTCAGGAAAGTAAATGCCATGACAAATACATCAAATTGAATAGGAGGGCGCCCATCTAGATCAAAAGAGCCTGAAGAGACACAACAAGTAAAAATGTCAAGGGTGAAGCTTTGATTCCTGGATCAAACCAACACAGCTATGAAAGATCTTTCAGCTGCAACTGAGAACCCAGTAGCAGTATTTGTCCTGTGTGCTAATACTAACACCAATGTGCTAATACCAATTAATAGTAATATTAGGGGTGGCAGTATTTTTGGACTGTGGATTCGATACTAAATGACAACTTTGATTTACTGTATCATGAAGATGCAGGGGAATGTTTTCATTCTTAGGTGGTACATGTGAAATATTCAGGGCTGACATGTAATGTCCGCAACTTACTTTCAAAGAATTAGCAACAGAGAAGCTGTGTGTGTGTGTGTGTGTGTGTGTGTGTGTGTGTGTGTGTGTGTGGAGAGACAGTAAATGTGGTAAAGGATAACAATCAGTGAATCTAGGTAAAGGGTAAATAGGTGTCTATTATACTATTCTTTCAGCTTTTCTTTACATTTGAACATTTTCAAAGTAAAAGTGGGAAAATAATTTTGGAATGTTTATGTGTGAAGCATTCTAATTTATTCTGTGTAATGCCAACAAAATTTGCCTGTGGACGTGGACATGGGTCCCTCTGACATTTCCTTCTTTCCATCCCCCCGTAACTGAATTGGTCCGCTCCTAAGTGCAGCTGAGCGACAGCGGCCCCCCTCACAGGCCCTCCCAGCCCCTGCAGGGGAGAAGTGCCCAGAAGACCTGCGCGTTCCCTGCCACACAGAACCGTTCACTTCGTGGAATGGTTAAGACAAGCAAGCCCACTCACGCATGGTAGAGAGTGACGCTTGCATTAGGAGAGGTAAGTTCACAAAAGTTTTGGGGACGCTCAAGAGGTTTGGAAAATTGAAATCACTCAGTTTGGCTGGAGAATAAGAGAGAGTCAGAGATTAAAAAATGGTGTGTGGATATGGCCACCATGCTGAGAAGCACTGACTTACGTATTTATGAGATGGGGTCTCACTGGGGTGCAGTGGTACAATCCCAGGCTCACTGTAACCTCAAACTCCTGGGTTCAACCGATCTTCTGGTCTCGGCCTCTTATTAACTATTTGATCCTACTAACAGCCCAAGAGATTGCAGCCGTTTTCTAAAACGAAATGCTCCACGTGATCACACGGAGGTTATGAGATTTGCCTACAATCTTAGTAGGTGACCCCACTCTGGAGCCAGGGCAGCAGAGCAAGGCCCGTCTATACAAAAAACAGGAAAATTAGCTGGGCAGAGTGATATGCGCCTGCAGTCCTAGCTACTGGGAGGCTGAGGCTAAGCTGCCCAGGCTGAACTCAAGTCCTGCCCTCAAGAAATCCTCCCTCCTTGGTTTTCCAAAGTGTTGGAACTACAGGCATGAGCCACGGTGCCCAGCCTGGATTTAATTTAGAGGGCAGCAGGAATATCTGAGGACACTGAGCAGAAATGAGACGTGGTGAGAGGTGTGTTTCAGTAGAGCTCGTCTGGGACGGGGCTTGGTAGGCAGGTGGATCCAGGGAGCTGAGAGGTAATGGGGGGAGCAGCCACATGGGACACTGAGACTGGCGAGGGCAAGAAGAATAGAGCGAAAGTGATGGCCACCAGCCCAGGCTCCAGAGCTGGGTCACCTACTAAGATTACAGGTGAATCTCATAACCTCCATGTAATCACGTGGAGCTCTTCATTTTAGAAAACAGCTGCAGTCCCTGGGGTTGTTACTAAGATCAAATAAGGAGGAGGATGTCAATGTTTTAAATTCTAAAAACAATGATGTTGCCTTACCCTCATGTGTGCAAGCTACTTTTCTGCTGGTCCCTTATCCCAACTGTGAATGCAGAACCCTCATACCTCCTGCCAATGTTTCTTCAGCTCATCAGCTGTATCTCAGGGCATCAGAGGATGCGTCCCACATGCTAAGGAGCAAGCCCAGTCCAGTCTCTGACCAGTCACCATGCGATGCCCATTTTCTTTCTCTATTCCTATTCCAGAAAACGCTAGGCACTGCCTTTTCCATTTGGCGTGTTTCTCCATTGGATACCACTGATATCCATTACCGCCAGGTACTGCATCCAATCTGGCACCTGCCTACCACGTCGAAAAGGTGCCACTACCATTCCATGAAGCCCACGAGGACCAAAGCTGCCCAGTGGCCAGTGACACGGGGAGGAGACATTCACTTTATCCTTTTGTACAGACCCGTATGTAAGAAGGCCAAAAGTATGGCTGCTTTACCACACCAATACCTTACCATGATTTCAGTGAAATAACTTTAGCTTTCCCCTTACCACCTCCTTCTCAGGCACCCAAGGAAAGAACAGAGTACCAAATGCGACACTCAGAATGATCCCTAACTCCGTGGACCAAAGCTTTGCTAATGAATCAAGTTCATCTTTCCTGGGCACAGCTTTCCTTGGGTTGGGCTCTCTCCCAGGAAATTCCTCAATATGTCATAATACACAATTCTTCCTATATCCTTAATTTTTCCTAAGCATCCCCAGATATTTTGGGTCAGATGGGACAACTTCAGTACTAATAAGCTGTAAACAGTCTTAGAGAATCATGTAATCAGTTTTACTGCATAACTTTTCCCTTCACTTTTACAAATAACATTACAGTGTATGGGTAAAGTTTATCTCTATGCATATATTTTTAAGTTCCTTAAAGATAAGGAGGATATCTTTTATCTTTGTTTCCCTTGAGGAGCCTGTCATTTGGTAGCACACAATAATGGCAGCTGCATTAGGTTTCACATTCTTTAGTTTATAGAAGCAGTGATATATTAACTACAGTATCACCCTCCTGGTCTTTAAGATTCTGCACATGCTTTAAACTAATTTTTCTAATACATGTTCCTGTAGTAACTAGATATCAACACAAAGAGAAAAACACGAACCCTGACTCTTACCTCATACCACAAGTAAAAATTAATTTGAAGTGAATTATAGACCAAAATGTGAATGCTAATATACTCAAAATGCTACCATATTCAAATTTTAAGAAAAAAGCAAATACAAATGTATATGACTTTTAAATAAGCAAATATCTTGTAAATAGGACATCAAAAACACTAAACATAAAAGAAAAAACATTGGCATGCAAATTGAACTTCTTTAAGAGCTTTTCTTCATTAAAAAGCATCATTAAAAAATGAAACAGACATTATAAAAGATGGAGGTTTCCTAAGTTCAGGGTTCCTCTGCTGTGGCACAAACTGTTGACTGTTTCACACTGCCCCCATAGAACTTGGGGGGCAAGGAGAACGGAGGCAAACATGAAGCTCACAATGCCTGCTGTGTAACAATGCCCTTTGTCTCTGACCTAGGCATCTCTTGTCTTCTTCCAGAACCCATGACACTATGGCAGGCCAACTTACTAGCTTTCGAGTAAGGTAACATCTCAGACCACCACAGGTTTTGACAGGGGAAACTCTGAAGCACCACAGGAGTTGGAGGTTCCATGTATCTCTAAGTAGTTACATACAATGGGTCCAAAACAGAAGAAAGGGTTAGAACTCAAGATTCCCAAGCCACAGAGCTGGTGACTGGAGGCGGACTCAGAGAGACCCTGGATTCAGTGACATACAGAGACAACAGGTGGGTGCACCAGCCCCTTTCCTTGATAGGCTCCCAGCATTTTGTCTGTAGGTTTACAACTTCCCAGGCAACAAATTAATAGAAAAAAAAAATCTTCCATCTGCAGAAATTAACAAGCCAAAGTAAAAAGACCTGGAAATCCTAACAAGCAGTACCTGTCTGAAATCCCAGTCTTCATCCTAATATGAGGCCCACAGAGAACTTCCAACCAGCCATGAGTGTTTCATATGTACTTATTAATGAGAGGCCAGTGGGGAAACGCAGTATCATGAATGATGTACTCCAGAACAAATGGAAGCAACGTGAGACCAGAAGAATACTTCCAGAAACTATGGTTAAGATCCTCCGAAAGAGGAAAAAAAAGTTACTGGGTCATTGAAATAATGGGAGGATGCTGTAAAAAAGAAACATCCTAAGTATTAGAAAGATCCTTCAGAAATTAAAAAAAAAAAAAATCAGTAGTTAGAAGGTAAATTTGAAGGGATTTCCCAAAACCCAATATAAAACCAAAAAGAGAAGCCTTATAAAAGAGAAAAGTAGTAACATAAAAGAATTATGAAACAATCTGAACAATAAAACGACTTCACTTTACATATAGTTAAGACTTGCCTAGTCCTTGGCATAATGAAAAGAAAATCAGAAATACTACCATTTGAAATTCCAGAATAAAAGGGAGAAGACCTTTCTGGTTGTGGCTGAGGATAAAGGTGGCTGGAACAAGAAGCAGCTCACAATCAGACTGACCTAAGGAAAGATGGCCCAGAACTCACCCACAAGCAGTGGATCAATGTTTGCACAATTCTCGGGGGAAATTATTTTCTACCCATTCACAAAGTTACCGTCCATGCAACATTCCTCAGAAGAGTCCTGGAGAATATTCTCCACCAAAGGAAGGAAGCAGAATGACCGAGACTGGGAAGACCTGGTCCAGGAAACCAGGGAGTCCACCCAGAAAGAGCAGGAGGGTCTTGGAGGATGACAGTGAGGGGTTCAGGTGGGCTGCCGTGGCAGGCAGCCCTGTGGGAATGGGAGGGAGCGCGAGATCAGGGGCTGTGGCCATGGAGGCTGGTTAAAGCCATCCAACCCATGGAGAGGGCTGTGTGCTTCCATCCAAGCTGCCAAAAAAACACTACAGTGCTTGGATGTCAGACATTATTTTCTTTCAAAGGGAGTTAATTGCCTTCTGGACAAACATAATCTATGCGACCTCCTCCCCAAAAGGTAAGCAGGTCACACTGGGACATTCTGCAAAGTTCAGTAATTATATGACTGTAACACTGTAAGCAGGGAATGTGTATCTGACCAAATCTTGGTTCAGGATTGCTTTGGGAGGTGGGCGGGGGGAACACAAGGGGAGGAAGCGTAGAGTGTAAGAGAGGGAAAGTCTAATGTTTCAAGGAGGGGCATCAATGTAGCTGAGAATGAATAATCAAGTGTTCATATAAGGGTATTACTAGGAACATCACGGAAATAAGAGAAGAAATTCCTTAAAGAATGGAAATGGAAAGTGACCCAGGTTCAGGCAGGATGGAGGGAGATTTTTTTTTTTTTCCCCTTGGAGACAGAGTCTCACTCTGTCACTCAGGCTGAAGTGCAGTGGTGCAATCTCAGATCACTGCAATCCACCTCCTAGGTTCAAGCGATTCTTATGCCTCAGCCTCCTCAGTAGCTAGGTTTACAGGTGCACGCCAGCACACTTGGCCAAATTTTGTAATTTTAGTAGAGACAGGGTTTCACCACGTTGGCCAGGTTCATCTTGAACTCCTGAGCTCAAGTGATTCACCTGCCTCGTACTTCCAAAGTGCTGGGATTACAGGCATGAACCACCATGCCTGGCCTGTATTTTTCTTTTAAGTCTTTCAGTATTATCTTATTATTTTAACCATAAAAATTAAATTGCTTAGATAAATATAAACTTTATAGTAGAACATGGAGGAGGAGGGCGTGGAGGAGGAAGGAGGAGGAGGAAATAAAAAATAAAGTCCTTGGTAGGTGCCATAGCAAAGTGAGCAGTGTGGAGAGAACACTGCACGTGACTTCCTTACTACAATGGCCTGTGGCTGATGAAGTACAGCACTTTGGTGGAAACAGGTGGGCAGTGTGTATGGGTGAGAAACATGATGGCTTTAAAGACAACACCTTTCAAACTAGAGTGAAACGAGAGACCATTCTCTAAATAAGTATTCAGGTAGTAATTTGCCATATGAAAAATTTCAGCTGTAAGATATGTTCACCTAACATGGAGGTATTCCCCAAATGACATGGTTTATCATGGAAATAATGAAGGTTTTAGTTTCCCTTTTTTAATATTTGACAATAATGTAATTTATTTGTTATTAAATTTTTAATTTAGCTACACAGCAGTTTATTCTTACCCTTGGCACATTATTTACAAAGAAACTCACCCCAGGTCCATGGTGAAGATAAAATAATTTGTCTCTCTCACATAGAAATCTTATGAAAACAGGGATGATTATTGTAATTCCTTTTAATTACTGCTATAATTGCACAAAATCTTTAACATAAAGCAAATGTAAACAGTATTTACAGGTATAATTTGAGAGTAAATGAAAAATCACTTCAAAACAAACATGGAATAAGGGAAAATCATCTTTAGATAACAGTCACTTCTTCATGGATTCTCAGGTACAGGATCAGTTTGGGTTTTAATTGACGGGCTCAGCACCAGAGGACAGACTTGACACACACCACCCCCACCCCCACCATGGATGCGGTCCATCCACTGTTGCACAATGTCCTTCAGTGTCTGACTTACAGATCCAGGTATATTTCATCTCCCTCCTCTCTCTCTGTCCTGGTGTAATCTACTACCCTAAATCAATCAGACCGTTTTCCATGTATTAAATAGCTTTCAGCTCAGGTCTTATTCCTCGCAGCTGTATTTCCCCTTCCACCTGCGTCCCTGAAGTTTCTCCCACCTGAAAACTTCACCTGACCCAAGAAAGCAAAGGGAAAAAACCCAAAGAGCCAGCTCATGGTCTGGTTCACTGTGTAACAGCCAGGAGCCAGAGCCTGTGTATAGAAGTGGATGCCCAGGAAGTACTTGTGAGCTGACTAAGAAGGTAAGACCACCACCCACTTCACTCAGGAAAGTGAGGCAGGATTCCATGCAGCATGAATGAGTGCACATGGAACAAGCTGGTTGTCATTTATATTCAGCAAGGGACCTCCACGGACAGGACATGTGGGGAGCTGCTATCAAACATCAGAACTTCTGACACTGTGCACAGTCTAATATTCTGCCCTGTCTGTTGTGATATCTCACTACAGTAATGATTATGATGGTGAGCACTTACGCATCGATATTGCAATATGTCTGCATAAGAACTATCGCTAAGGCAGGTGATATTATTTCCCTCAGTGTATAGGTAAGGAGCTTAGACTGATAACTTACCTGGTCTCACATAGGTAGTAATGGCCAGACTAGAGTTGGAACCTGTCTGTCTACTCTCCAAGCTCGGGATTGACTTGAGCACAAAGGTAAGTATCTCATGTGCTTTGTAAAGTTCAGGTTGGTAACAAAATATGTGAAAGGCAGGGGTATAGACAACAGGGGACATGTGAAATACGGGATGAGCCTAAAAGAATTCAAGTCTATTATTTTTAATCCACTGTTGTCAAATGGCAAACTATTACTGGCTTTTCTTTAGCTGGTGATTCCTGTATTCGAATCATGAGAAACTTATATTTCATATATTACCAACTATTATGGGGAAAACTATCACAAGGGAATAAAACTTCAGTGCCCTAAGGATTTTTTTAACCCTAGATAGATCTTATGAGTTTGCAAACTATAATTTTTAAAAAGAATTCAGTCTTTTTCTCCTCCCAAATATAAGTTTCCACTCTTCCATTCCAGACACGCAGCAATTGAATTCGAGTTACCTGTGCTTCATTCTTTATGGTGCAATACTCTCTACCTGCAAGTGCAAATAATTTTTCCAATAACATATTCTTCTCTTCCACTTCAGAAATATGATTCTCTGTTGGACTTGAGGCTGGGGGAGGCAGTCTTCATCTCCTGCAGCATGCTTTTAGAAAATAATGTCATTCTGCACATATGTCAGAGGCAGGCAGGAAAATGATGGGAAGAAATGACTTGTCAGGTGTGGACTTCTTCAAAGCATGAACTGCTTAGAAATCAGTTGTGGCAAATAAGCCTGTAAAAGACAGGAAAACACTCCACGCCACTGAATTCTATCTGTAATCATATCTGTACGTTCCAAATGTTCATGACCCAAATATTTTGGATACCTGTCTCTACTTTTCTTGCTAAGTGCAACTAAAATCCCTGGATATTATATGTAAAACAATCATAAAAGGACTGTGAGAATTAGAGAAGAGGCAGACCAGCTAGGGCATCAGGACCCAAGGGATGACATGGTAATGAGTATCTTGGGTTTTCTTTTCTTTTCTTTTCATCCCAGATTTGGAACTGAAGAAGCTAAAAACTCAGACACACTAATGCATGTGAATTTTAAAAATTCTCAAAAGAAGCCTACTCTCTCTAGTTAAAGGACAAGAAAAGGGGCATCCTAACAAGACAGAATACTTTTAAACAATAATCACTCTTTTCTAGCTGAACAGAATAGATAAAATGGTGGACCTGCCTTGCTCACAGAGGCTCAGCAAGGAGCCCTGAATTCTACCCTTACTGGGCTACAATAAGGCACCCATCCCTCAACTAAGGTGGTTTCAGAGTGCTGATGAGGGAGACAGGAGTTTGATTTCCTCTAAACAATAATGAGCTTCCTGTCCTAATGATATAGTTGGAGACCATGGGAACAGGTACTCATACCTGTCCAGCCAGTGCACTATCTGCAGGAGCCTAGAGGGAAGCTAGAACTCCCTCCCTATCCAGCAATGATTAGGAGACAGCCTCCAAGGGTCAATAGACACAAGGATGGAACCTGGACTTCTATAGCCACCTGGAAGTGATGAACTCCAACCCCCTTTTCACCAGAGTGCTGGTGAAGAAAGCCAAAACAGACAGCTTAAATAAGACACACTGTTGCATAAAATAGTATCTGAAATATTCAGGTTTCAACTGAAAAACATTCAGCCCATTCTACCAAGAACCAGAAAGATCTCAAACTGAAGGCAAAAAGACAATCAGTTGACATCTACAAGAAGACAGAGATGTTAGAATTATGTGGCAAAGATTTTTAAAAATAATAAAAGATAAAAGCAGTCATCATAAAAATGCTTCAACAATCAATTACTAATATGCTTGAGACAAAAGAAAAAATAAAAAGGCTCAGCAAAGAAACAAATTCTCAATAGAAGATGCAAAAAAGACCCCAATGAAAATCTTAGCACTAAAACAGTTGGTGACAAAAATAATTTTTAAAAACTTTCACTGGTGCATTCAGCAGCAGAACTGAGGAAAGAGGAAAGAAGCAGTGGAACTTAATATAAAACAACAGAAACTGCACAATCTGAAAAAACAGCAAGAAAATAGACTGAAAAACTAAACAGAGTCTCAGAGACCAGTCAGACAAAAGATCTAGTATTCATGTCATGGAAGTCCAGGAAGAATGGAAAGAGAGGAAGGGTGAAAAAGTACTAACAAATTGACAGAAAGTATGTCAATTACAGGAGAATTCTACCAAACATTAAAAATATAATTAATACAAATTATATACAATCTCTTCCAGAAAACAGATAAGGAAGGAACATTGCTAAATTTAATTAATTTTATGAAGCCCCATCATCCTGGTATCAAAACAATATAGACAAGGACAAAAAAAAGTATAAACCAATATTCCTCATGAATATATGTGCATAAACCTTAAAGATACATATTAACAAACAGAATTCAGCAACATATAAAAATAATTATATACAATGATCACATGGGGTTTATTCCAAGGATTCCTGGCTAGTTCAATATTAAAAAAATCAATCAATATAATCTTCCACATTAACAGGCTTTCTGATTGGATCAGTCACAACGCAGAGCAAGTATCAAACATACAACACCCATTCTTAGTAAAACCTCTCAGCAAACTGAACAGAGGAGAAGTTCCTCAATTTGATAAACATCTGCAACATACAGTTAACATTCCAGGTAATGGTGAGTTACTGAATATTTCCCCCCTTGAGATCAGTAGCAATTCAGGGATGTCCACTCTCAACTCTCATTCATCATAGTACTAGAAGATCTAGCCAGTGCAATAAGGCAACAGAAAGAAATAAAAGGCACTGAAAAAGATTCTCTGCTTGACCAAAATTTAGTCAGCCTGAAGATACAGGGCCACTAAAAGACAAATTTGGTCATAAGATAATAGAACTTTCCCCCTCACCATACCATACCACATATCAACAGGGCTCCAATATAATAAATGACATTAATTTGCAGCTAAAAGACCTGCAAGGTACAGATTCTATATGAGGAGGGATTCTTAAGGAAGCCACAGGAAAGGGAGGCAAAAATAAAGAACTTGGAGTCCCTGTTACCTATACTGCAGCAAATACTAAGCACAGCCCAACTCCTAGTAAGGTTAACATAAAGCCTCGCACAAATGGCCTATTTGCCTCACTTCCTATTACTGGTGTATCATGTCTTCCTTTCACCTAAAATTTACAAGTGATGTCAAAATGCAAGAGAAAACACAATCTGAAGACAGAAAGCAAGCATCAGAGTAGACTGATTCAGATATGACACAGATTTTGGAATTATCAGAGAATTTAAAATAGCTACAATTAATATAAGGGACTCTAATTAAAGAAGTACACAACATACTAGAACAGATGGGTAATGTAAGCAAACTTCAGAACACCAAAGAATAAGAGAAAATACTGAAAGAAGCCAGAAAACCGAAAAAAAAAAATGTCGAGAATATATATGTTGAAAATTACAAAATGCTGATGAAAGAAATCAAAGAAGATCTAAATAAAAAGATATTCCATGTTCACGGATTAGAAGACTAAATATAGTAAAGATGTCTTTCCAAACTAATGTGTTAAGTTTAACACAAATTGTATAAAAATTATTTCAAAATATTGTGTATCTAGAGCTACAATTATTCTAAAACTTATAGGTAAAAGCAAAGTACCTAAAACAATGCTGAAAAAGAAGAGTGTGGGAAGAATCACCCTACCAGATATTATAGCCTATTGTATAGCTACAGTAACCGACACTGTGTGGTATTATCAGAGGGACAGACACATAGATCAATGGAACAGAACAGAGAACCTAGAAATTGCCCACACAAAAATAGCTAAGTGATTTTTTATAAAGAGGCAAAGACAACTCAATGAAAAAAAGATAATCTTAATAACTATCTGAAATAATCAGATATTCATAAGCAAAAATGTGAAACTTGACTTACACCTCAGATCTTATACAAAAATTAACTCAAAAAGGATCATAGATTTAAATGTAAAACTATAAAAGAAAAATTGAATTGTAAGACACTCCACTGGTGTCAAATAATTGCTGAAAAGCACTTATGGAAATCATATCTAGAATATGCAAAGAACAAAATGATTTTTCATGTTGTAAAAAATCCAGTTAGAAAAAGGACAAAAGATATGAAAAGACATTTAATGCTGATGAAAAATCAAAGAAGATCTAAAATCACTGAAAGACAGATGGTTTTTATGACTTCAACAACTCAACATAAGACAGATCTGAATTCTCTGCAAACTGATAGACAGGTTTAATAAAAATTCTATCAAAATTCCAGCAAGCTTTTTGTAGAAACAGAGACGATCACGCTAAATGGAGATGCAAAAGAACAGGAATAGCAAAACCAATTTTTAAAAATTTTTAAAAAGTAAGGTTGGAGGAATTAATTTACCTAATTCAAGAATTATAAATAACTATGGTAAACAAAAGCTTGTGGTACTGGTGGAGGAAAACAATGGATAAATAAAACAGAATAGAGAACCCAAAAAGACCTCCATCCACAAATATATGCCCAACTCATTTTTGACAAAGGCATAAAAGGGATTCATGGAGGAAACAAATGGTGCTGGAAAAACTGGACATTCATTTTTAAAAAAATTAACCTTGACCTACATCAAAAAGTAATTCAAAATGTATCACAGAATTAATAAAACTACAAAACCTTTAGGAAAACTACGGGAGAAAATATTTGCAATTTAGGCCTATAAGAAAAAGTCTACTGTCTCTAAAAGCACGACCCATAAAAAGATCAGTTAACAGGTTAGACTTCATCAAAATTAGAAAATTTGCTGTATGAAAAACTTTGCTAAGAGGATGTCAAGACAAGCTACAGACTGGAGATATTTGCAAACCACATATCCAACAAAGGACTAGGTACCTAGAATAGATAAAGTGCTCTCAGAACTTAACACAGCGCCCAAAAGGGCTTCAACCAAGGTGTCGTCTAGACCGTGTTCCTTCTGGAGGTGCTAGGGGAAAATCTGTTTCCTTGCCTTTTCTGGTTTTAGAGGCCTCCTGCAGTCCTTGAGTCAGGGTCTCCTCCTTCCATTTGGGTCCAGTTAATCTAACACAGAATCACTCTGGCCTCTGCTTTCCTTTCACATTGATTTTTCTGACTCTCCTTTTACTCTCTTTCCCTGATAAAGACCCTTGTGATACGTTAGGTCAACCAAGAAATTCAGGGTCATGTTTCCATCTCAAGATTCTTAACCAAATCACACCATCAAAGTCTTTTTTTCCATGTAACACAAGACATTCACAGGTTCTGATGATCAGATCATGAACATCTTTAGGTAGGCTATTATTCTGCCCACCACATTATGGAATACTACTCAGCAATAAAAAGTAACCATCTATTGATATTCACAATAACCTGGATCAAGCTCCAGAGAAAGATGTTGATTAAAAAGAAACGGTGGCAGTCTGTGTAATTCCCTTTGTGTCATATTCTTTAATTAACAAAATTTAAAAATGGAGGACAGATTAGTGGTTGCCAGGAGTTAAGTAGGGAGTGAGAGCATAAAGGAAATGTTTGTGGTCATAAAAGGGCAACATGACAGACCCTGCAGTGAACAGGATCTGTCTATCTTGACTTCACCAACGTCAACATCTTCGTTGTGATACCGTAGTGTAGTTTTGAAAGATGTCATCACTGAGAGGAAGTGGGTAAAGGCTGCAGAGGAATCCCTGTATCATTTTTCGCTTCTGTATATAAAGCTATAGCTATCCCAAAATAAAATGTTTAATTTTTACAAACCCATCTCAGCTATCTTGGGAAAATCAGTAAATCTGGAAATGAGATGTTTTGCAGGATTTCTTCATCATCACCTGAGCACCCAGTAAAATCCCTGCTCAACTCCTCCCTCTGAGAACTCACAGTCAATTCAGCAGCTTGACCAAACTCCCTCTTCTCTGAAATGCCTGTTCCTTTCCAGGTATCCCCCATCCCCCTGCTACTAAAGACTGCACTTAACAGAGTCAGAAGAGTGGGCTGTAAGTAGTCAGGCTGAAAACTCAGGTCCCTCATCTGCACTCTGCCCGTAACAAATTGTGTGAGGTACTTACGAATGGTGAAGTGCACAGGTAATTCACAAAGTGCCTTCTCATAAGTGAGTAGGAGTTACATGGAAAAATGGCAAGGGTTAGTAGCAAAATCATTTTGTATTTTCACTGGGATTAGTGTAGTTGATAGAAGTTGTTGCGAGTGCCCTAGAGAAGAACAAATGTGTTTTAACAGCATTTCCAAAATTATTTGACAATGGAAGCCAGCCAGCCCACCTTCACATTTTTTTTATGGAAACATCTTTTTAACTATTGCCTATGGAATACATTTTGAGAAATGCTGAACTAGATAAAATAAAAATGTGTTAATATTGCTTTATAGTATACAGGCATTTTTTAATTCTTAAAGTAATACTTGGTTGTAAAATATTCAAACACTACACAAGCACAATAAGGTTCAAAATGAAAACACCCATTTTGCCACTTCCACTCCCCAAAGGAAAATGACTTTAATGGTTTGGTGTAAACAGGTTCATATTTTTTCCTCTGTATTTAAAAATATATCACTTTTATAATTAGAACAAAAAATAAATGTGATAAAAGGGAAAGAAAGAAGGTCAACTCTTCCTATTCCCAAAAGAAACATCTAAATGATGGTTATATCACATCTGGACACCTTTAGGAAGGAAGACTAAGGGGTAGTTATTGAGTTTCTAACATTATCTCAGGTTACTCTTGTAAGAAAGATATTACACTTACTTTACGCACAGTAAATCTGAGAATCAGAGATTAATC